TCAAAATGTAGGTATCTGTAACAAATAAAGTTTCTGATTCATATCTTAATGGTTCACCTACTGTTACAGCTTTTAAATCAGAGCTAGATTATGTAACGTCTTTTGTGTAGTTGGAAGAGCTGAGGAGAGTTAAGTATGGGGAAGGGCATGGGCAGAGATGTGCAGATACTATCCGTTAAAGTTTTGAGTACTAGAACAATAACACATAATAAAATTAATTTTCTCTGTACAAATTTATATTCTTTCACCACTGAGTTATTTTCTGCGTTTATACATGGTAATTTAGTGAGAGAAAATGACATCAAGATTTCTTAAAATGTATTATGGATGGGTAATGATTTTAAAAGCAGAGAAAATATATGTAATCATTGAACAGGTGTCTGTGCTTGCAAAAAGAAGTAAATAACCATTTAAAAACAATTCTTCATCAGAATGAGTTTAACTTCTAAAATATGATGGACAATATATTCTGTGGATACTTAATACAAATTCATTTGAAAGGCATGCTAGATCTTTTACTCAGTGATCAATTGCTGTGTGTTTATTTTTATTTTAGAAAGCCAAAAAGAGAGAGACTATAATTACTCTGAATAATACAGACCAATATTCAGCTCTTTGCTTTCATTTTATAGCCCTGTGTGACAATAAATATACATTTATATTAGTTCCTTATTTTAATCCTTCATTTGGGCAACAAGGGCTTGCTATATTATTAGCTTTTTGTGTAATGTGATATGCGTAGGGAACATCCTTTACCTATCTAAGACCATATTGGCAATAGATTGAGAATCCAGATGACTGGAATCTATGAGACTTATTCAAGATATTGCTTTAATGGTTTATAGGAGGTTCTGACTTAGGTCAAATAAGATACAACGTTCAATTTGAAACTATCAGCATATTTGTATTTTATATGTAACCACATACTCTAATATTGAGAGAAAGTTGAGATTAGCATCACATTTTAGCCACAGGACTCTGGAATGCCAAAATCCTTCTCTAGAAAAATACCTCCCACAATTTTCTGTAAAGATATAAATGAAGATGACAATGACCAGCTAAACAAAATAACACTTCATTAAAAATTAAGTCTTTGCTGCCCCAAAAGCCACTGACAAACTCTGGTAAATTGTGCTGGGATTCAATAGAACTCATGCCTAAGTGATATACAAGAGTGACCATCACCCTGTTGAGCTGACATTTAGAAAGAATCACTCCTATAGAACAAAACTGGTATCTGCTAGCTCCGAAAGACATGGAGGCAAGGAAGCAAAAAAGAGTTTTTGCTCCATTGGCCTAGCACTGAGTTAGCCTACACCACTTGCTGTAGACCTTCAAAGATCAAGGCAAGGTCTCCTGCTGTGCAGGAGGGTGGAAGAAAAAAAAGTGTGTGTGTGTGTGTGTGTGTGTGTGTGTGAGAGAGAGAGAGAGAGAGAGAGAGAGAGAGTGAGAGAGGCAGAGATAGACAGAAAGCTGCTACCCTTACTACTTTTCAATTGTGGAAGAAGAAATACTGGGGAAAGCAAAATCAAAGCCTCTTGAAAACTCCACCTGTGGAAAACTCAGCATGTCGTCAATCAGTGGACAAGCAGTTCAGCTCTAGTTCCTTAGATGGAAGGAGAAGGAGAGGAAGGATAGCACTCCTAACTGTTGAGCTGATTTGGTCATGGGAATGATGTAGAAAAGAAGCCCAGAACAACCCCAAGCTAACATCTGTCTCATAGATAAGTTTACGATTCTGTGGGATTTTTGGTTTTCACAAAATATTTTTTCAGCCATGTAACATTTATTTCTTTAGACCCATGATATAAATTTTTTAAAAAGTTTTCCAGCTCCAGAAATATAATTTCAAGGAGTATACAATCAAAGTTCACTCATCTACTCAATACTCATTGAGAACAACACTGAGTTTTTTGAGGGGTATAAAGAAGAACTAAAATGAATCTGCCTTTGAAGAAACTTGCATTTTAGTAGTCATTGTCAAAAATAACTAGCATACAAACGATTAAGTAAAAATTGCCATAAAATATATATAGCTCAAGGACACTGAGAGTTTAGAGAAAAATGATTTTTTAAGCAATAAATTTCACTATGATTTGTATAAACTCATATAATTGGTTTTGAAATGACCCTTTAAAAATTATAAACAGAACGCATATAATACTTCTTTTGAAGAGGAAAAAAAGCAGATAAACAAATATACACCTGAATGATTCAAATATTGATGCATCTGTTCCAAAGCTCTAAAACTAATTAGATATTTGGTTTCATGATTTCTATTAGCTTTTAAAAAATAGGCATCTATTAACATAGTTTGGTATTATAATGACAAACAATTAGTGATAACTGTTCTATTCTGGAAAGAAATAATAATTGAAAGTAGTTGGCTTCTAAATAAATTAAAAAGTAAGCTTGCTAACTTAATTTTAAAAATTTGATTTAGGGAATTTATTTTAGGAATCTTCCACTTTGGATGTATAAAGAACTTGAAGAAAATAAAATTCTTTTTCTTGCTTTGGTTATTTCTCATTAGCTTCCCCTTATCTTCCCTCCACCCTACTAACCCCACAGACTCTTACGTTACCCATTTACATTTCCACTGGAATATTAGAGAAAATATCAGGGTGTTTTTAAGAGCCTGGAAGCTGAGAAAAATTCCTTATAAGATGGAATTAATTATAATCACTTGAGAGATTTGAATAATTAGTTGAAAGTTGCAGAAGGCAGATATCAGCTCAATATAAGGAAGAAATCCCTGAAGATTAGGAAGAATTAACAACCATTTTCTTAAGATGTTTCCAATACCTCAATTTATTCAAAGGCGAACTGGAAAGTCCTTTACTGGATATTGTAGAGCTGATTGACGTAAACATTCATCGGGACTGGTGAAGAGCTAGACTTGTTATGTAAGTTTTCTTTATGAACTGAAAGGCTTTCTGTCACTGAAATTATTTTCTAACAAAGGAGTTATTCGCATTATGTTTCTGTCTCAGAAAATTGTATCCCCTACACAATTTATTCCCTGAAATTGTTTTGAACTGACCCATCCAGATAATCCTGCACCTGGTAGACGTGGGACATTCAGGGGAAGAATGAACTTGGGACACAAAATTAGATATGAGATGCTAAGTTGCACATGCACATTCTTGTTATACCTATTACCTCCAGTGTATTGGAGAATAATTGAATATTTCAGAAGGGTAGATGTAACTGTAAGTTTCAGAATGAGAGCTTGGTGTCATTCAGTTGAGTTAAATAGAATGTGGTCAGAAGTTAGCCATCTTTGGCACCTATGCACAAAATTTCCACAAATATAGTTTGATTGCTAATAAAAATCCCTGCATTCTCCAACACCGGACATCTTCTGGTATGCTAAAACCATGGAGAGAGTGGCTCAGATCTCTGTGCACTATAGAAGATGCAAGAAAGTATTACAAAGGTCAAGTGAGCAGAAATACTAGAAACTGTAGCAATGCTGTTATTGGATATGTCATTATGGGTCGCCACTGATGACTGGTAGAACTACCACCACTACAGTGAGCAGATAGACTCAACTTTGGGGTTTGATGTTATCTAGTTCATAGGTCTCCTAAGCAGTGCCACTCTGGCATAGACAGATATCACCAACTTCGGCCACACTGCTCATAGAAGCCTGTACAGGACATCAGATTGCAACATCAACACATATCTTCAGATTAGCATGATATACATCTTGAGACCCTTATCAGTGAGCCTAGTCTTCCTCATAGCTAAGCAACCCAGCACTTGTCATCCTTGTATAAAACCCATGATTTTCTTGTCAGTTAGCATGTTTTTGCCTGCAAGAAACAGATAGCCCAACATAAAGTAGCTTAAACAACAAAATAATTTGTTGACTGTCATAACTCTCCAATTTCCTAAGCCCTTATCACTTCTTTCTATTTCCAACACTGTTGCCCTAAGTAATGTTTTTAATATATTTCACCTAAGCTTTTTTTTTCAACTTTTATTTTAGATTCAGGCAGTACACATACAGGTTTGTTACCTGGGTATATTTCATGATGCTGAGGTTTGAATTATTCCGTCACCCTGGTGCTGAGTATAGTACCCAACAGTTAGTTTTTGAGTCCTTTTCCCCTTCTCTTCCTCCCACCTTTAGTAGTCCTCAGTGTCTATTGTTGCCATCTTTATGTCCATGAGACCCAATGTTTAGCTCCTACTTATAAGTAAGAACATGTGGTATTCATTTCACCTAAACTTTCGAAGTAATATCCTACCTGGTAATTCTGCCACTCATTAATAATTTCCTACCATAGCCATTTATTCATTCATTCAACATTTTGAGTGCCTGCTATCCTATTTTGGGGGAAGAATATGTCATTGAATGAGTTATGTTGCGGTCCCTAAATTTAAGGAGGTGTTTTAGTAGGGAGAGGGTAGGCTATGGTGCAACATCAAATGATATCAGAGGTTTACTCTCTAACTATCCATCTTTTATAGAATGACTGTGGCTCTGCTCCATGCCAGTTTACCTCAGAAGCTAGGCAGATAGACCTTGATCTGGAAATTTGCCCACTGGTATGGCACAAGGAAAGAAAGTGTGACAAAGCACAAACTTTCTCAAAATTTCTGCCTGCAAGTGACCTATATCACATTCATTTATATTTCACTGCTCAAAGCAAGTTGCTTGACATAACTGACTTCAATAGTGAGGGAATCATATACCTCTTCCAAGGAAAGCACATGGATATTGGTGAAGAGTAGTGCAATCAACCATGTGACATTAAAATTTAGAGCAGAGATCAGTAAACTACAGCCTGCCACATCATTCTGTATATAAAGTTTTATTGAGACACAGACACACCCATACATTTACATATTATCAATGACTGCTTTTGCACTACAATGGCAGGGTTGAGTAGTTGTGACACAGACCATATGATCCAGAAAGCCTGAAATATTTACCATCTGGTCCTTCACAGAAAATAGTTTCCTACCTTGATTTAGAAAAGCAAAAAGATACGAAATAAACTGCAATATTTAATCATGCATTTCCTGTGTTTATTAGCTATTAGCAGCAATGATGATTGCTTTCTTTCTATACAGACTCCATTAGGATACAAGACATATTTTTGAAAAAATATTGGTTTCTGGTGATGAGCAATCTTCTGGTAGCTTCAAGATTCCATCCAGCATTTTTAAGTTTGGCAAACAGGAGAATACTCTAAAGCAAAAGTTTAAAAAAAGAAACACTATATTGAACAAAAGCATTTTATTTCACTTATTCTCTTTATAAGTGAATGGACTTTGCTATTGTTATAAGGAAGATGAATGGCTATCACTTCATTCTGTGTTCTTTATCTTTGCAGTGGAGCTAAAATAAAATATTACTCATTTTAGTTGACCTGATGATATTGCCATAGCTTGCCCTTTCAGGGATCTAATAGATCTTTCAGCAGGTGGTAAATATTTATCAGAGAAGTGGGACTGTCTACAATCTGTTTTTATAAGAGAATTTCATTCCAGTTTTTACAGTCTTATAAGGGAAAAAAAATCAATGAGTGGATTTAGCCAACTAACCATGAGAGACAGAATGAGATCATGATATATGTGCTCATTATAAAGTTAAAAGTTTAGAAAGAGAGAGAAAGTAAAGTAAGCCCACGATATTCAGTGATAGTTAAAGAAGAATTCTTCTGGCTGATAAATATAGAAGAGGGAGTGGGAAATAATATTGTGCTGTTATTTTTTTCCTGAAAGAGAGCACTTCTAAAGCTCGTATTTCAAATTCAGGGAGTCACTTCTATGTTCAGAAACAGATCCTTCAGTTCAATCCAGTTAACAGTGATCATATACTAGCGGCATTAAAAAGCAGCATTTTCTTTAGAATGACAGCTTTTCTAGATCTGGGAATTCTGAGGGCTCAGGCTGGGGGGAATCTATGGCATTTGAATTTGCCTGCATGAAAGATATGGAAACCTCTTAGCAGATATGCCAAGTCAACTAATGATGGTGCTGACCTCCTTGAAAGCCCCCATTGGCTACATGATTTTCTTAACATTAATTGCTTCCTGTGCATCTCTTTTAATCCTCACAACAACTCTGTCAGATTGGTTTTTATCCCTCATTTAAAATAACTTATCCAAATCATAAGGCCTGTAGGTGACGAAGCAAATATTAAAATCTATGTCTTCTGGCTTCAAAATTAATACTTAGCTGGCAAGAATTTCTAGCCACTGATTTTTTTTTTTTTTAAGTCAAGCAATAATGAACTAATATAATGTTTGACTCCGGGAGAATGAGACAGAAGTTTGCCTGTAGGTGTCCCGGAAATGGGGCCACCTTCTAACCTACTGGGACTTACACTATTAGTTCTATTATTAAGTCCTTTCTCTTTTGAATTGTGCTGTCTTCTTATTGGAGGATCTGAAACAAAGGAGGAAGGGAAAGCAGTCACAATTCTAGGTGATAATGGTCAAGAAAAGCTTGTAATTTAAATAATTCTGAGCATGGTGTGTAAAAAGAGTCACCTGAAGCTCTGGCCCAAATCCTCAACACAGATATCCCGTGACAAAATTAAAGCTATTATAATCTTCAAGGTGCAGATTTTTGGCTGGGTGACTGAACCCATATTTGAGTGAACTTCTGACTCCAGCTTAGTTCCTTAGCATGAGTGGATGCTTAAACCTTTTCCTTGCACTTTAAAATGACTCCATCATTCTGTTCAACACAACCCTGCACTACCTAAGTTAATATAACCTGGCTTTTTCTAACTTGAAAGTCAGCATATATATACCTTGGACTCAATCCAATAGAGTTAATACTGGAAAACCAGAAGAACCACATTATATCCCTCATTCCTACATAACTCTATACCACATCATGAATTTTGTAGACAGAATTATAGTAAGACCTCAGGGCATATCCGATTTCAGACAATTCATCTTAATACTATTATTGTAAGGCATTCTTTGAAGAGAGGTAAGAGGCTGAGTTGGGACCAAAATGCTTTATAAAACCCCACATATGAATTAACAAAACTGAAATACAATACTATTAAATTAACCTTATGACTAGGAATGTGCTTTCTTATGAATGATGTTGAAATGTCCAGCTAAACCTCCTCTGATTATAGGAAATATAATTTTAAACCTCCAAATATTATTATGGTTAAATATTAGCTCAATATTATAGCAACTGTGCTGCTAGTTTTCACTGTTACGTGAAAGCAATTTAAGAATCTATTATCACAGACATGAAATTTTGCTTCCAGACTACAGTCATAGGGGAGACAACTGCAGTAATGAGATTTATGTAACAACAGAGATTAGAATTTCTGTTTTGACAAATTTTCATTGTACGTGAGGCATTGAAGAATCTAACCTCATATAGGCTTCTAGGATACAGTTGCTGTTCATGGGAAAAGAGCAGTGTGAGGAAGGAAGATGGTGAAAACTATGTTTTTTACTGAAATGAAAGTAAGCAAAAGATTGTAATCGTAGAATAGAAATAGACCCTGGAGATGATCTAACTCTTTGTTTGACAGATTTGCCTGGGAGGGGAGATGACCTCAGTCATGGATACAAATACAGGCTGTAGAATTCATTTGCTTGTTTTTATCCTTTTAATTCCCATAAGCACAATAATTAGTGGTACTGGGAATTAGCTGGAGACAAATAGATGGGCATATTACTGGGTGCACACTTCAATGTTTACATTCCATTACTATCATTGGGAATGTTCTCAGTTGTGACAAAGTAATAAAAATGGTTTCTTCTTGGCAGGTTTTTGAGCTCTTTTGACCACTGGAGTAAACTGAATTCTTTGTATTCACTTAATGTTGGCCCTGGGGCCCAAAGAGTGAAAGTAATACCAGAGAATAAACCATTTATAAAGTTGTCACATGCAACTTAATAAAATATATATATGTATAATTTTTTAAAAGACATCATATCTGTTAAGCATGTGGGAGAAAATGTGTGGAATTTGAAAGTCTAAAACTAAACATCTTTGTATAGGTAAAGTCATTACAGAAGGAGCCTAAAAATCTGTATAGCAACTATAAATTAACCAAGAGAAAAGAGTGTATTAAGATAAATTTTTAAAAAGATAAAGAAAGATCAGTTCAAAAGTCTTTAGACGAGATCAGAAGCATGAAGTGTTCAACATAGTGCAGATTCTATAACTATTTGCTGGGTAAATTTGAGCAAGAAAGGAACAATATTTTAAAATATAGTTAAAAGTGTAATATTCAATGAAGTGCAAAAGGTGACTTAGGGTGTCTGGGGCCTTACCGCTTCCTGTAATTTTGGTGGAACTCACAAGGGTTCCTCTTAAGAATAAGGGATTCCAGTGGAGTGCAACGTAAACTGGAGAGTCCAATAAGAGTCTCAATGTGGTTTTCGGCCAAGGATAAATGCTGTATCTGAGGTATCTTTGGTAATTGTTTGAAAGACATGAGATGGTTTTTGCTCATATTTAAAATTCTGCAGCTGCATACAAAAGAGAAACATCTTGTTACTTGTCTCCTAAAGAGAATGGTTAACTACCAAATCTAACATAGGACTAGCATGCCTTATGTAGGCAATAACCCCTCAATACAGTAACAGTGATGTTACTGTCATGATGGTCACATACAAACTATGTGACAAATATAGTTTCCTAAGAAAATTAGAAATATTTATATTAGAATATTAAGAGAAAATAAGCAAGATACATGAGGCCATAGGTTTGTGGAGCACAGGAATCTGTTTTCTTTTCCAATGAATGTGCTTGGTACCTGACTTGGCCCATGGTGGATTCTTGATATGTCTTAAATAAAAGGATGAATAGCTGCATATCATCTCAGCAATATAAAAGTGGACACACACAAAAACAACAACTTGTGAAAAATACTGTTTCTAAGTAGTGAGATTATAGTTATTTTTCTTACTACCTTTCTGTAATTTAAAAACCTCTATATTGAGAAAATAGCATTTTAAATCAGAAAGGAGGCATTTTTAATATAAAAGAAAACTAAAGTATCCTTAGAAACAGTAAAATGTATTAGGCATTTAAATGTATACATTTTCCTGATAGATAATGCTTCTCAATGTGTTTGCCTTAAAACTATAACTGTACAAGACTGGGTGAATAGAGAAAATAATTCAAAATCTGTCACTGACATCTTGCCTTAAGGAAAACTTCCTTTATGTATAAGTTAGGATTTAATATTATGAGATAAATACAGGGTATATATTTATGGGCCTTGGGCCCCACAAAGACACTTGGTAAATGGTCATTGCTAACGGGAAAGAGGGTACTGTAAAGAGAGAACTGCAACACAGAAACATTAGGGAAAAAAAATCCCTTTGAACCACCTAGATTTCATTGTAATTTTTTTGCATCTATTATTTTTATTTTTGTTCTTTCCTTTCAGTCCCTCTCCATATGTATATTTTATATAGATCTCATCTTATCTTTGATAACTTTTGGCTTCTGCTTATTTCCAGAATTCATACAGGCTTCAGGAGCACTTCAGTACTATGACAATTTCTCATTGAAAAACCAGCCCAAGAAGTTCCTACCCCCGTGCCTCTCTCCCCATTCTCCTCTGAAATCTGTTATTTTCTTGTTTACCAGTCATGCTCCCACTTTTTTTTTTTTTTTTTTTTTTTTATAGGTTTGCTTTACCCGTAGTCAGTATCTCAGCTCACCACCCCCCACGATTCCGGCCAGTGATAGGAAACGCCAGTGGTATGATTAAGAGGGTTCCGGTTAGGGTTTCCTTTTCTATCCTTCAGTATTCGTTACCCCCACTTTTTTTTTTTTTTTTTCCATTGCCGTCGATAGGAAATGTTAGGGGAGAGAAGGGGGGCAAAGCGGGTGGGTGGTGACACAACTTTCTCTGTCTTGGCACTTCCTGTCTGCCAGACTGTTTCCCCCTTGTGTACAGCTATCATGACCTCTTTCTGTGACCTTCTCTCAGCCAATGCTCAGAATTGTATCTTAACCTGCTCTAGAAATTACCCTTCCTTTTTGTGGATGCTCAATTTCCTTCATCTAATTCACTCCTGAGGAGCTCTGTTGGCCCCTCTCATTGCCACCAAAGCTCACTCCACCTACCCATTCTGCCTGCTGAAGCAAATAGCAGCTCCCTGTAAAAAGGGTTCCCTAGCAATCCCTGAGCAGAAAGAGATTATTTTTAACAATATGACTTTGGAATCCTTGAGAAACCAAAGAGTCTATATATTTTTTTTTATTTTTAGTTTATTTCTGTCCTTAATCTGATAACCAGCCTCCGCTCCAATAACAGAATGTTACCCAACAGGCTACTATTGTCAACTACCTTGTAAAGTCTTTCCCCATAGGTGTTCAATAAATATGACTAACTAAAAATTAATTTCTTAAACCATAATGTATATGTCATGTAATTGCATTTTCTAGTTTACATCACAATGAAAATGGCAAATTTTTCTACTCATACAAATAACTTTCCTAAAAATTGGTAAAAAAATATTAATTTGAAAAAAACAGATGTTTCCCTCTAAAGTATGACATTTTGATATATAAATTTCTCTTTTGGCCTTGCTGTATGTGCCACTTCAGTACAAAGTGTCACCTGTAAGACCTGACCACATGGGGCCAGGTGCAGCCAATGATCACACATATCCAAATAGAGAAGACTTAACTTTAACCTGTTAACTAGACATGCTACAGAGCAGATACCTTGGCAATCTTATGGCACTTAAGTCCACCAGTGAATTATCCACTAACCAGAGGGTTTCAACTCGAATTAGTCTTCTAAGAATTCTGTTAAAATTTTCAACTTGGTAAGGATCCCCCAAATCCTGAAATGAAATGTTCAAATTCTGAGGAAAAACAAATAAAAAGAAAAAAGTAAGGCTTTTGTCAGCTTTAGTTATTCATTTAAAATGTATTGTGTATATTAATTATACCAGTAGTTTTTAACCTTTTTTTTTTTTTGTCTTCCAGAGTACTCATACATCCAAACACAATTATGTTGTAGCAATTTTCAAGTTAGGGAGGGTGAAGATCTTGATCAGAATTACTGAGCAGTCTACAGGGTTTGGGAGGGTTCCACGGGTGTATGGAGGAAGAAGGACAGGATTCTTAAGCAGATTCTGAGATTTTCTAGGGGTGTAGAATAGAAGGGATAAACTTCTGACTGCTTTACATGATCAGTAATCATTAGCCTCACTTGGAAATTCTCAGAAATCACATTTATAAAATTTTTAGAGTAAGATAACATAATTTGGAAGACGAAAACTATGATTTTGTTTAACGTAACTAGAGATACATATCTAAAAATGACTTGGTGTGCTTCAAAGATAGTGAATATTTTATTTTCACTTTAAACAGCAGTCAACTTTGGTGTAAAATACATTGCTACCACTCTCAGTGGTTGCATTGCTCTTCTAAACTGCATTCCTAAAAGTCAACTTAATTTTTTTATTTCCATATTTTGCCATCAATTTCTGTCAATCAAAATATTGAATAGAATGACAATCCCTTTTTTAAAAATTCGAGGCCAAATAATTTGCTGTTTTTAAGGAAATACAGACATTATATTTAGGAAGATTAGTAACATCTTGATATTTTTAGATATTATACTTTATAAAATGTGATACACGAAAATTTATTTTCCAAAAGCATACAAAGTCTTTATTTTAAAATAAAACTTGAGAAATGATAAAAGTTTATGTGTATCGCCTATACACTAAAATCATCTCCTCAGAAAAGTTTTTAAAAAAATTTGACACTATTTCCCAACTAAGTTTTCTATGATAGTTAAGAGTTTATTTAGCCATTCTCTTACAGTATAGTTATTGAAAGGATAATTAATTCTTCCATGATAGTTTATTAGAAAGGCTCCATTGACTTTAAAGTATACCCAAGGTTAAAATTGCAAGTATAAAGAAGGAATGAATATAAACACCAAAATGACTACTCCTAAAGAGAGACTGGGAATGGATGTCAAAGCCTTAGGTGTATTGTTTAAATTTTTTAAATAAATAAGGGGGTGTGTTGTTTACATTTGTACTAGATTGTAACCATTCATTATATATTAATAACTTTAATTTGAAAAGAAAGAACCATACTGGGACATGGTATTCTATTTTCTTATCTTTCCCTGAAAAATTGCATAACTTTGAGCAAGTCAGTTCTCTTCCTGGACTTCCTTTTCCTTTCTGAAAATAAGAAATTTAAACCAGATCCTCTGTGAAGCTCCTTCTCATTCCCTAATTTCTTAATTCTATGGTATATAAGTCTGTGAAGCAAAGGAGGCGTCAGGAGTCCTCAACAAGGAGTTTTAGGCTCTGTTTCATTTCTAGAAGACTTCTTAAACTTTTCAAGCATAATTTTATCCCTTTAATATACAAAAATATTAGCCTCTCACTCTGTTGTGAGGAAGTTGACTTATTTTTTTATTGCCAGAAGCACTTGTCCCAGTTAAATCTTCAGTCCTCTGCCTAAGCATGACTTGATCCAACTGGAGTTAGAAGCTTGAGTCGCAACCCCACAGATTTGTAGTGGTCAGGTTGACTAACTGCAGGGGAAGTTTCAATGCTAGTGGCTTAGTCAGCAGGGTGATTTTCAGCAACTAGAAATGAAAATCCGGTTCCCTCACTGAGGAAAAATTTGATTTATTCCAGCATAGCTTTGTTTGAGCTGGCTGCTCAAAAGTTTCATCCTGATGCATTGTTCAAAGGATTCCAGATTGCATCATAAACTCATTGATATGGATTATTGTCCAACATTTGACTTTTTTTTAATTATTAACAATTTTGTTCTTCTCAAATATTTTAAACTTCTTCTCAGAGTTCAGCAATATCAGGTTAAAATGAAGGTTAGAAAATATGTAACATATTATGATAAAAAGAAGGGGGAAAGAGAAACAGAGAAGCCCAAACACCGGGAGTTTTACAGAAAGCTGTGAAGACATGCTAAAAGTTGTGTTATTTATGCCCTTAAAAAAAAAAAAAAAAAAAAAAAAGATGTCACAATTTAATCAATGGATAAATAGGCTTTAAAAAAAAATAAAAATAAAAGCTCTTACCCTGCAGTCTTCCCAGTTTTCTTGTAGCCATGTTTCCCATTTGTTTTTTTCAAGAACTCTTTTCCTTGGGGGCAAGGTACACTCTACCTGTCTGAAAAGTTGCTCTTCTTCAGAGGGTCCTAGATAAGAACCACAAGGTAAGATTTTGGAAGTATGTTTAGGGGGCAGGACTGGCACTTTCACTTGCTATTTGGCCAGTTGTTTGAAACTCCCACTGGATATCACAACTAGGGAGAGTATGATTTGACCCACAGAGTGTGAGCAGTAATAAAATGATTTAACCCACTCCTGTCTCCCTAACCTGGTTGGGGGAAAGATTGGAGACAGGGAAAGATCCAGGACTTCACCAAATTTTTCATTTTCTAATAGTTGAAAATCATTTTTTTAAATTTTGCCAACTAACTTTCCTCTCATATCTTCTAAGGAAAATTGAGCTATACCTCTTATTTGACAACATTAAATCAGATTCACAGTTATGACAATAATAAATTAATCAAAATATGGCTATTAAATATCTAAACCACTCAGTTTTCTCATTATCCTTCTGCTATAGGAGCCTGTGGATGTGTGTGAAGGGCTTACTACCGAGCCCTCTCAAAACAAGATAAGTAATACAAAAAAGGGGAAATATGAAACAAATCAGCAACTTTCTTTTTCATCTTCTTTGCTTAAAAAGCAAAGGAAAGTTTTTTAAAAACTATATTAAGGCTATAATACAGGTTATAAGGTTATTAGGTTATAGATTATTTAAATTGTTCTTTTTTTTTTTTTTTTTTTTTTTGAGACGGAGTCTTGCTCTGTCACCCAGGCTGGGGTGCAGTGGCCGGATCTCAGCTCACTGCAAGCTCCGCCTCCCGGGTTTATGCCCTTCTCCTGCCTCAGCCTCCCGAGTAGCTGGGACTACAGGCGCCCACCACCTCGTCCGGCTAGTGTTTTGTTTTTTTTTTTTTTTGTATTTTTTTAGTAGAGACGAGGTTTCACTGTGTTAGCCAGGATGGTCTCGATCTCCTGACGGGGTTTCACCATGTTGGTCAGGCTGGTCTCGAATTCCTGACCTCGTGATCTGCCCACCTCAGCCTCCCAAAGTGCTGGAATTACAGACTTGAGCCACCACTACTGGCCTACAGTTAACTTTTAACCATACATAAATATTTCTAGCCCATTCAAGTGAGAACAATCTTTATTATAGTGATTTAATCTTCATATAATTTTCTCTTTGGGAATTGTGAAGTCATTCCTGATTTTCTTTCTCTTTTGTGTCTCAATTCGGTTAGTCACCTTATCCTAGCAGTTTTCCCTTTGAGGATCTGTCCCTTCCTTTTCAATGTCCAGGTTCTCATGTCTTCCTACTTAAACTGTAATTACTTTCTCTTGAATCTTCTTGCTTGTGATGTTCTCTCCTCCAATATAAATGACACACATTACCATACAACCTTCCTGAAACACAGCTTTTACCCCAGGACTCACTACTCAAAACATTTCGGAAATTTCTTCTTGCCTACAAATCCTAGCTTGTCAGGTAACGTTTTCCATAGTCTTATCTCAACTTCCATTTCCGAACTCATTTCTCACTATTTTCCAACATTATCATCCTCCAAATAAGGTTTGCACAAAACTTTGAGGGTTAGGGAAAGAATGTCCTGTTTCCAGTCCGGAGTTAGCTGGTAGATAAATGTGGGACTCCAGATGACTAATTTTAATATCCTGATCTTCAGTTTTTCATGTCTGCAAAGAATAGGGGGAAAGCCTGAATCAAGTGCTGACCATAAACTGAATTTGGTGAGAAAACATGTTGGTTTGGCATGCATGGTGCTTTATAAAAATACTGGTTTCTAGTACTTTAAGGATAATATAGGTTTTTTTATTGCCATAGGCCCCTACACTCTCTATTGTGCTTCCCCAGGCAAACTTCACTCTGATATGGTGTCAACCAGGCCCCTGAAAGCAACCCTACACTAAATTACTTTGATTTCCTACCAGCTCTATCATGGTGTATTTCTATGAGTCACACCTGGTACCATTTGCAAGCACTTTTCCCACTCTGTTTTTCTGGAACGGGTGACTACCCTCATTTCAAAGGTAAAACAATAAAGAAAAAGGACACTGAGGACATCAAAAACAAACTTTGCTTTTGTGGCCTGTGTGCTTTTGTGGACTATGATAAAAAGTATTAAGTTCATTTGTGAAGAGTTTATGGAAGGCAATATGAGAGTCCAATATTTTATTATTTCGACACAAACATCAGTTCTTACACCAGGGGCAGGTGGAGGCCAGGGTGTAGCCTCCCCTTTCAGTCATTTCTCTTATAATGAACTCTGCTGTTACCACCCAGGAAATCCTTTGACCCAGAATGAGGCAGTATTTCAACCGACTTACAAATAAAATATCCTTATGTTAGGAAATGGTCTTCTTCATTGATGAGGGTGGTTGGATTTAAAAATCATGGAGGTGGAAAACTGGAGCAATCACCTAATTGAGCAGGGAGACCCTCAGGCTGTATTGTCTTTCACCCACCCCCACTTCAAATTTGGCAGCTTTCTCTGTGTACCAGATAACCCAGAGTTATTAGACTCTTCCCTGTATTGTTTGTTTGAGGGCTATTGATCTTCTGCTCTTTTAATTATTTCTTTTTAAAGTAGCTTTCAAAGCTTTCTTTGAAGTTGGAGGCCAAAGTTCACTTCCACTGTAAGGAGTTGAATTAAATTGGATTTTTCTTTTTTTTTTTTTCTCAGACTTGGTTGGTAATTGAAGATATATCTTAGCAGCTGAACTACAGTCTGGAGTATCTGACAGTTCAGGGATGTTGACTTTCACTTGCTCCCTCTCAGCCTGTCCTTTGTCCCCTCACTGGATTTGTAACACATAATAGCAGTCACTGAATTAACTTCCTGAGATATTTTTGAATGGAAAGAATTTATTCGTTAAAAGAATTCTGCCAGCAGTTTACTCTTTTGCTTTATTTAATTGTGAAAATTTAAGTCAGTCTTGATCTGGAAATCGAAGCCTTAGGCAATTGCTGCTTATCACACACCAGATAACCTTTCCTGTCTTATGAGCTCTTCCTGAATGTACAATTGAGGCAATTGAGATAAACGGAAGTAGCTTTGATGGGTGTTTCCAGATCTAATCTGGAAGGAGGGTAATTCTTCTCAAAGTGCTTTTGAAAAGCATTTGTTCTCCATGTCACAAAACACACTTAAACAAAATTAAGAGCAATGAAGGAGGGACATCTATTTCTCCCTGGTTTGAGGTGAGGGGATTTTTTCGTATGTTTTCCATCCCCTAGATCATGCTCTGGTCCTTTTATGACTAGTCACTTACAAGAGATTGGGTGTTGTTAATGATCTATAGAAGGAAAATGTGCTTTTATCTCTGCAGAGCAATGATGTCCTCTGCATGAATGGCCACCGTGGTCAGTCATTACGTTGGGTTGGTTTTGCTGAGTGATGGCCTGAGCACATAACCTGGCCACTTCAGTCAGGGAGAGAAGGAGACCTTTGGACATTCTCTGCACAAGCTCCTTTTCAGTTGACCCTCACATTTTGTTTTCTTGTCATCTCCAATTTCTGGAGTTCTCTCTAAACCCCGATCCAGCACTTGTGCCCAGAATACGATTTCTTTTTGCCTCGTTATGGCTGCCACAATTATCAACCACCTGCCCCTGCACTCACACACTCATGTCAGCATTTTTACTTATCAATCTATTCACTTTCTATTCAAATTTCTTTCTTCTCTCCCTTTCCTCATGCCTCTTAAACCAGTGTTTCTCATAATATAGCCTTTAAATCATCTACAACAGAATTCCCTGTGATAATATTTTACAAATCTGGATTCTGGGCCCCATCCCTTACAACAGATTCTGTGGGAGAAGGACCCAGGAATCTTTCTTTTCATGCACCTCAAGATGATTTGTTCACACACTAAAGCTTAAGGACTAAATTAAATCCTTCCCGCTTTAGCCGGTGACGTAGCTCTCTCTTCCTTTTGCTGGAGGACTCCTGATACATGTGACACACTCAGCCACCACTTTTCTTGGGGTCCTTCCTTCCTAATTCTTCACAATTTCTCACTCTTGGAAAAAAAAAATCTTCCCAAGGTCCTGAAAGGACAACTCTAATTTATCCCTAGTAGTACTATCTACTCACATTTTTAAAATAGGAGTCAGTGCTTGGCTGCAAATATAGCTGACAGAGTTAAAGCATAAGAACATATTTTACTCAAAGTATAAGAAAATTATGCTATTTTAGTTCCCCTTCCTTAGCCAACTGAGCTTGAGTGAAAGAAGATAAGTATCATGTGGGGGTCCACAGAGAGGGAAAATGAGCAGATGAATAGACCTAAAGCCACTTTTCCTAAATCAACAGTAAAATTGTGCAATATACAATATTACTGCAAGTCTGCTAATATAGATGGAAGATAGCCAAGATCTGATGTTTCCTAGAGACTAAACACTCACTGAAGCAGGAATCATGTCTAATATTATTTCATTGGCTTTTGTGGATGCAAAAAAATACATGAGAAATGCATGGCCTCTGTTCTTACAGAATTTATAATCTATTGAAAGCTGCTTATTGAAATCAAACATTATGTATATCAAGGACTGCAGATGGCAGTTATTCAGATTGTTATACTATTACCCTTGTAAAACCTGATAGAATAAAATAGTAATAGTAAAACATAGTTATTCCACCAAATTTAAAGTGCTGTGTGAAAATGTAAAATGAGACTACCTGGTTTATTCAGTGTGATGGTTAATTTTAGATATCAACTTGACTGAATTAAGGGCTATCCAGATAACAGGTGAAACATTACTCCTGGGTATGTCTGTGTATTAGTCAGGGTTCTCCTGAGAAACAGAATCAATATGAGATAGATAGATAGATAGATAGATAGATAGATAGATAGATAGATAGATGAAAGGGGGGTCATTATGGGAATTGGCTAACATAATGATGGAGGCTGAGATGTCCCACCGTATGCTGTCTGCAGGCTGGAGAATCCATGAAGCCAGTGGTATAACTCAGTCTGAGTCTGAAGGTCTAAGAACCCGGAGAGCTGATGGTGTCACTCCGTCTGAGGATGAAGGCCCGAGAATGCCTGAGAATCTGGCAGCCTGTTGATACAAGTCCTAGAGTCCAAAAGCCAGAGACCTTCGAGTTCTTATGTCCAAGGCCAGGAGAAGATCAGTGTCCCAACTCCAAAAGAGAAAGTAAATTCATTGTTTCTCTGCATTTTTGCTCTCCCTAGGTCCTCAAACACTTAGATAGTGCCCACCCACACTGGGTGAGGGCAGATCTTCCTTACTCAATCCACTGATTCAAATACTAATCTCTTCCAGAAATGCCCTTACAGACATCCCCAGAAATAATGCTTTACCAGTTTATCTAGTTATCCTTTAATGCAATCAATTTAACATTGCATTAAATTAAAATTATCCATCACAGCCTGAGAGGACATTTCTGGAAGAGATGAGCATTTGAATCAGCAGGCTGAGCAATGATTTGCCTTCACCAATGTGGGCAGGCATCATGTAACCCATTGAGGCCCCTGATAGACCCTGATGGAGTGACACTATCATCTCTCCCGATTTTCAGATCTTCAGATACAGACCAAATTATTCCACTGGCCTCCCTGTTTCTCCAGCTTACAGACGGCATATTGTAGGAATTCTCAGTCTCTATAATCATGTGATTCCTATAATAAGTCTTATCTATCTATCTATCTATCTCTTTTTATATATATATATCTTGATATATAGATGTATATATAGAGAGAGATGTAAATATCGAGAGACAGAGAGAGGTATATTTTATTGGTTCCATTTCTCTGGAGAACCCTGACTAACACATTTAGATTCTATTTTGATGCTGTTGGAAAAAAATATATAGAATTAAGTCAACTTAAAGTCATCAATTGAAATGACAGTATTATTCATTATCATAAAAAGTAGTAAATAAACTAAATTTCCAACAAAGATTATTGGTTAAATACATTTAATGATATGATGGAAAGTTATGCAAGCTTTAAAAAGTATGTTTTGGGTAATGTTTAATGGCATGGAAGAAATGCTGACAATATCATTCTGTTAAGTGAGAAAAACAAGAAGAAATAAAAAAATACATATATATATGTATGTATATATTTTACAATAAAAGAGTAAATGGAAATAAAAGTCACAGTGGTTATTCTGGATAGTCAGTGACAGGTTCTTCTTTATCTTTCAATCTTTTTCCAATATTAATACTGAATGTTAGTTATTTATATAATCAGTTATAAGAATATGCTTTCAAAGGTGGCTTCACATATCAACAATTCTATGGTCTTGAAAAAGGAAAATTTTACCTCCAAATGATGTCCTTTTTTTTTTCTTCAAGTAATGTCTTTTAATCCACAAAAAATTCTACTCAGAGGATGTACACGAAAAAGGTACACATTTATTCTTTTACCTTCTCTTACTCTTGGGCAACGCAGTTGACTTCCTTGAATGTCATGTTGTTCTACCTTGTTCCAAGTGAGGTACTTACAAGAATCTGATGGAAGCTTTAAAACAAGAGAAAAGAGAAATACTATATCATCCGGCAATACGTAGTTCATTTACTTCCGTGTGTAAAAGTAGTGTAAATCCATGCCAAACACTTAGCCAAATTGAACTCCAAATATCTAATGGCGTGCTCATGGAAATCATCTTATGGAATCTAAATTATGTGTTCTTATTCAACTTTGCATCCTCAACACCTGCAACTGATTTACATTTGATGGTAAATGACAGCATGAATAAATATATGTACCCAGTTCATGATCCCCTTTAGCCCAATTTATATAAATCATTCTTTAATATTTTTGAATATCTCATGAGCAGTCTCATTCCATTTATAACAGTTCTAATTGTTAAGATATCTTCATTACATGGACTCTGTTTATTATATAATCCGTCTAACTTGCTCCAATTGTACGAGTTATGTCTTTTTAAGGCTACACAGAGAATCCCTCCACATATGATTACTGTTTTAAATGTTTAATAATAGTTGTCATTCTCTTCCTAAGTCATTCAATTATTACTGATAGATAATTGTCTATAAATTAGTAAATGTTTTGGTGGTTATTCTTGGAAAGAGTTTCAACTTATTTACATTGCTCTCAAAATGTGTAGTTCAAACTGAATGAAATATTTCAGGTATAGCCATCTTGTTCTGGACAGTATGTTACTGACTAGAACATGTACCAAGATCATATTTGGGGCAATTTTAATTGTTTACTAACATTGAGGTTGTAATCAATCAAAATTCCAGTGTTTTATATAACTTGTGATTATTTCAAGGTTAACACAAACAAAAGGCATATTACTTGAAAAGAATATTATGTTAAATATTTACACCATAGATTCATTCTTCTGTTAGCCAAAGTTAAACACGTGTACAAACAAACTCAGAATATTTAGTTTAAAAAACGTTAAGTATTTGGAACAAATACTCTGTTCTTTAGAACAGAATTTGGCAAGTGCTGCCCCAAAATAAGTTGAGAAGAGCTGGCTTTTTAAGAATAATTTAACTTTAATGTTTTAGCTGCATTACTTACTCACTGAAAGACCTTGGCCTTGCTCCAACAAATATCCCAATATCTTCATTTTAAAAATAGAACTAGTAACAAAAGCTGTCTACCTTCTTATCAGTAACACTAAAAAGTTAACTTATGCTTGAGCAATTCTTGGAGATATTCTGAGGATTTGCCAACGTGCTTTCAGGGAATGAACTCATCCTTTTGTACTATTCTTTTCGGAAAACAATAAACACAAAACATTTTAGATGATTAAGGAATATAGCCCAACTTATTTTGGGGGCAGCACTTGCCAAATTCTGTTCTAAAGAACTGAGTATTTGTGCCAAATTCTGTTCTAAAAACAGAGTATTTGTTCCAAATACTTAACATTTTTTAAACTAAATATTCTGAGTTTGTTTGTACACATGTTTAACTATTCCTTATCTTTTCTATTATCTTTTCTACTCTTAGCTGTTCGGCTTATATAGTTATGGAAGCCTCTTTCCCAACACCTTATGTGCATTTGGAATTTTTCTTTTCTTGCTTCTATTATAGAATAAAAATTTCTTGGAAGTTAAGTTCCCTAGGACTGCCATACCCATTGACTCTGTTCTATTTTATGAGGCTTGTGCTGGGAAAAGAAAAATTGTTCTAAGCTAAAGTTGTATTTGAGAGGAAAGTTTTCATTTTTCACCAGGCATCTACTTTTGTACAAAAACCTGTTTGTTTTTAAGGAGCTAAGTGGTTGACTTTGGAACTTCTGACATTGTAGGAAAATGAGCCGCTGCATGTTTTTATTTAGTGCTATGTAAGGTTGTCAGGGTGGTGCAGCTGTGTGACAGTTGTTCCTTCCTAAAGGAAGAACGAATATTTGTGTCTTGCCCTGCAATTTTTCTTTTTTTAAATTCTGATGGGCCAATTGATTAATGTATTCCTCAATAAATATTTTTTGATGCTAGCATGCTTCATCACATTTTATTCAAAAATATATATTTTACCACATTATATGTCAGGCACTCCGTTAAACACTGGGGATACAAAATTGAATAAAACATGACAATTGTGCTTGAAAAACTAATTCTCTGTAATTTGGTAGGTAGACATTTGAATAACTCACCTTAAGCCAGTGGGATGCCTGGAATAATTATGCATGAAGGGAAGAGGAAAGAGGCATGTATGGTTCCAGTTAGATGGCTTAGAATGTCTTAGAAGTGGTGAGTTTGAGAGAAAAGAAAAATGTATCTTGCAGACAAAGGACATTCCAGAAAGTAAGGAAAGTAAATCTCAGACTAGAGACAGAATTTGCACTCAGCAGAAGAAAGGAAGGAGGGCCATTTTGGTTTTAATGGTCATTATTTTTTCTACTCATTTTCTCCTCCTTTTTGATCTTCCTTCCTCCAATCGAACTTCTTTCTTTTTTACTCTTTGAGAGTGTCAACCTTTCATTTCTCCTCTCACAATTACAAGGGTAGGGGTAAACAGCTAATACACTTATTTTAAAATGTTGAATATCAAATAAAATATGTTCTATAAACTTATCATCAGGTAAAGAGTTAATTAAAAATATTTACCAAGGATGATATTCCAGAATCCAAACGTGGGTGGAATGTTCTTTTCCTTGATGGAGCTGACCCAGTGTGGGTCTCACTTGGATCAGAGTAGTATGATGAATTAGATGGACAAATCTCTTGACTACTTGTGTTTTGACCTGAGGAGCTGAGTAAAATAAAAAGCTTAAAGTGTTCATATATACATATATATCTGTTTTATATATCTGTTTTATAGTTTTTTAATGTAAATATCCTTGTTTAAAATGACAACAGGCCAGGTGTAGTGGCTCACACCTGTAATCTCAGCACTTTAGGAGGCCAAGGCGGGGGGGGGGAATCACTGGAGGTAAGAAGTTTGACACTAGCCTGGCCAAAATGGTGGAACCCCGTCTCTACTAAAAACACAAAAATTTGCTGCGTGTGATGGTGGGTGTGCCTGTAATCACAGCTACTTGGGAGGCTGAGGCAGGAGAATTGCTTGAACCCGAAAGGTGGAGGTTGCAGTGAGCCGAGATAGTGCCACTGCACGCCAGCCTGGGCAACAGAGACTCCGTCTAAAAAACAAACAAAGAAACAGAAAACAAACAAACAAACAAAAAAACACAACCAACAACAAACTATAAGCATAAAGTTTTCCCCTACAAGAAAGATAATACCGTAGATTTTAAAAGGATTTTTACCTCTTTTCATAGTTCTAAGCAAATTTTTATGGCTAATGGTCTCTTAAGACAAATTCCCCTCAAAGGTAAGGATGTCTACATAGACTGTGTGTCTTAGAAAAAGGCATCTAATAGTATACACGAAAACACACACACACACACACACACACACACACACACACACACACGCTTATAAGATACCAAGGAGTACAGGCCTCATGTTGATGTTGGAACATCATTCCTAGTAGAGCTACAGCTGCAGATCTGGCACGTATAGCCATTCTTAAAATCTCTGCATGACTCTGGAACTTAAATTTTACCGAGATTTTCCCCAAGCCTATTATATTTCCTCAGATTAGTGGCAAACGACTGAAAAAGTCGGATTCTTTAATCAATTTTACTCACTTTGGAATGTCACTCAACCCTTTCACGTTACAACAGTCCAGTTCTCCTTGTATTCCTATATTTATACCACTGAGATGTAAAATATATTTTATACTAATTCTCTGGTTTATTATTCATTGTTATTCTTACACTTTTCCCTTTCTCCTTAGAAAGAGTGATAAGTTTCTCTTTCTGTAATTGATGCTGTACATTATGTTAAGCCAATAATTTTAAAATATTTTAATCTAAATATTTTGTGTGTGTGAAGTAAAACTAGAAACCACATCTTTCTATAGTTACGGCCTCTTTTTTTCTCTTGGTAGACTATTTTCAGTCTCCAAGAATCTTAAGAGAAAGTATTCTATATTTTTAGCACATTTATTATGACTCTAATAGCAATTTCGCTGATAGGAAACTACACGCCTCTTGTTTATTAAGGTTGCCTTCGTGAAGTACAATGTAGAAACATCTTTCATTTTTCACTTATTAACTGAGCCTGTATAGTAGAAGAGCACAGCGATTATGTTCTAAAATAGCATCGTTCTTTAAAAAGCTTCATATTCTAAAAATATCATTACTGTGCCATTAAATTTTTCTTTCTTTTTTTTTTTTTTTTTTTTGAGACAGAGTCTCCCTCTGTTGCCCAGGCTGGAGTGCAGTGGCGCGATCTCGGCTCACTGCAAGCTCCGCCTCCCGGGTTCACACCATTCTCCTGCCTCAGCCTCCCGAGTAGCTGGGACTACAGGCGCCTGGCACCATGCCCTCCTAATTTTTTTTTTGTTTTGTATTTTAGTAGAGACGGGGTTTCACCGTGTTAGCCAGGATGATCTCGATCTCCTGACCTCGTGATCCACCTGTCTCGGCCTCCCAATTAAATTTTCTTAAGTGACATATGATCAAGAAGAAAATTGTTTCTGTATCTGCCACTAAATTCAAAAGTCAATAATTTGGTCTTAATTATGTAAAACAATCATAACATATATGCATCTCATTTCTTTCTCGCTTGAGCAATTATTTAACTGTTTGGATATTGCTTCTTGAAATTATCAAAAAGCATCGTGTTATAAAAACAAATTAACAAACATTAGAGAAACAAACTCAAAATTTCTGAATTTTATTATTCCTAAAGCAGATAAATCCTGCCATCTAAAACTGGAGTTTTAGCCAGTAATTATGAGAGAAAATTGAGGGGAAATAGAATAATATATCAGAGGATTAACAGGAGTGAAAGTTTAACTGACTTTTGGGTTCATTTGTCTTTACTGAAATATGCTAGCCATTTTCTGCCAAAATAAAATATGAAAAATAAGGACAATGAATGTGGGTAAATCTTTCTTCAGTGACTTTTGTCTTGTGATGACAAACTCCAATGATGGTTACACAATGAGGGATTGGGTTAATAGAATAACCTGGAAGTCTCCCTCTAAAGTATGAGACATGGTTTTATCTTGCTTATATAATCTCCTTAAAGTAGGACACAAGGAAAATAAAGTTCACAAAATTACAAGATTTGATAAGAAAGATCCAGTTGATTGGGTTTTTATTGTACATTCTTGTGTAGTTTTGCAAGCCTAAGCTTAACAACTTCAAGGTGAAATTAAGTTTAAAAGTATAAGTGAAAATTATCTCATCATCTTAGTTTACTTTCATCATCTTAGATTTATTTCTGGTTTAAACTAAAACTCTTTATGGCATTATCCCGGTAATGACAAGGCATTTATTAATAATAGAAGGCAATTAAAACTTTAGTAATACAAATAAGTAGACAGCTAACACCCTTACCATGTTTCTCTCTCTGTGTCTCCCTCTCCTTCCTTCCCTCTCTCCCTCTCTCTCTATCTTCTCTCTCTCTCAATGCATTTCATTTTTTTCAGAATGGACTGAAAAATGAATTGAAGAATGGTTGTGTTTCAGCTAAGAAAATTCCAATCAATAGATGACTAGTCTGACTGTCTTTGAGTGTGAAATCTGCTTGGAGGCCCCAAAGTCTGGATCCTTTCCTCACATTGTTATATTACTCCAGGCACCACACCAGGGTACAGTGATAAAGGCCAGTGTGCTGGGAGGAGTTTGTGTTAAAAACCTCTGGGACATTCTCAGAATCTTAGTTCTGTCACTTCTATTATAAATTCCGTATGGAATTTTTCTTCAATCTGCTCCTTTGGAGAAATTTCAGCAAAACAAGATCATTTCTGATCATTTAGTTTTAAAAATAAAATAAAAAATAGGGTACCTTCCAGGTTATATAACTCAAACTCCTCCATCTACAACTGCCTTAATGTGCACATCACTGAAGTCAAAACTGCAAGACCGGCAAGCCCTAGGAATTTGAAAAACAGTGACTGCTATGACCCTGGTCAAGGCACTTAGCATAATCTCTGACCCTCAGTTCTGTATCTTTAATATTCAGAGATAATGTGTCTCAGGGATAGGGTGTTTTGTTTTGTAATATTACTGCTATAATGACAAGTGTTGCTATTACTAAAATTATACTTCTACAGTTTACATTTATTGACATTTGCTATGTGGTAGGCACTATACTAAGATATTTACATGACTTAACTCATTTAATCATTCCAATCACCTAGTGAAACATTGTTTTACTTTAAAAATGAGGAAATTTAGGCACAGAGAGACAGGGTAACTTTCTCGAGTTACATTAGTGAATGACCAGAGATCTTAACCACTAGAATTCATACAAGATGCAGATAACTACCGTCATTCCTTAAATAACTGAAGAGATCTATCACTATTAGGGTGCAGTTGTTATTAAGAAAAATCATTAATATTGATTTTTCTTATTTTAATTACTTCACTTAAACACATATAAATGATTGTACTAGTTAATAGAACATATAAATTCAAGCAGTTATTATTTACTGAAAACAAAAGTTAAGCCCTCAGTAGTAGAACTTATGAGAACGCCATTCCAGATAACATCAAACTGTTTTTTCAATGCTCCCACCTCCCCTCTCCAAAGGAAAATAAAACCAGACAAATGCAGTTTAGTTGGTATATTGGTTTACTCATTTTTAATCTTTCTGCCTGCAGTGAACAAACAGTTATCATAAATTACAAATCTAAACCTTTATGAAAGAGGAATTAATTTTATTAATGTTCCAATATAAAGCTGCCATGGAGAAGGTGCCATGGCTGAAACTGTACAGCATTTGCCAGCCATGATTTATAGTGTCTTTAAAATAGCTGGCGTTATCTGAATTGGCCATCTAGTCTTGGTTGAAAAAAGATGTAGAATGGCTAACAAAAAGGATCAAGTGAGCTGAGACTGCTGGATGAACAACGATAATATAACTTATCAATTCATGAGCCCTTTCATCAGAAGATTGCAATGTTCTTTACAATCACAAATTTATAAGCCTCATAAATTGTCTGCAGCAACGGTTGCTATCTGTTTAATTAAAATGTCAAGTTGGTGATTATGTAACTTTGTAAGGCGAGTGAAGGAGGAAGTGACAGATGGCCCACTTTCTAAGGTGAAGTTGAGCTCTTAAGTTGCATAAAGATATGTTGAGCACACATCATACGCAGGTCATGGGCTCCTTTAAGACATGTAGGGTTGTCGAAATAGTATAGCATATGACTCAGTTTCTAAATGTTCCATTTGTATTCATTGCTTCAACATGAGGGCTTTGTATTTAGGAAGGAAGGAAGGAAAGCATGTTCAACTTTATTTTTCAATTAGCAAAGGACACACTTTCCAATCTCTCAGCCTCCTTCTCCCTCCAAAAAATATTGAGCTAGAGTCTCAAATTCAGTGGAATCACGCCAAAGCCAGGTACTTCTGAGGCATGGGCTAGAATAGAATTACTATGAACTCTATAGCATTTAATTTGGATGAAAGGAAATATGAATTCAGCCTCTCTGATTTCTTAGACCATTTTATCTTTCTATTTAAAACTCAGAATTTCTGTCCTCTCTATGCTTGTATTCTGTTTGTAAAATGGGTCATGATTGTACTCTTTACATGCCAGACATGGTAATGGGATAACTGAAAGTACTCTCAGAGCTATCATAAAGTCAGGAAGAAATTTGATATTATAAGTTGTTAATTTCTACACTGGCAAATTTGCTAGATTTTTTAATTTGAAGATTATTATTATATACTGATAGTTTTAAATTAAGTTTCTGGAAGTAAACATGTAAATTGAGTAAATAATTATTTATCTGTGAACTATTCTGTAAAGCTAGGTGTTTTAGAGATATTCCAAAAATATTTCACTTATCCCAAAGCCTAGGATTTCAACTGATGTGTCCTAAATGATTTAGATTGTTGATTCTAAAAGCATACAACAATAAATTTCAATTTTGAAAAATTCACAATTGCAATTGCTTTTTCTCTACCTCAGTCTGAATGAGTCAGATTTTATGTGACCCGATTTTTATTCTTATAAATTTTGCAGGTCCCTATTATTTTAGCCCCATAAACATTCTTTAAACATTTATAGGCCATCAAACTAAGGTACAACAAAAGTAAAAGAACAAAGACCTGTAACACTTTTCTAGAGGTAAAACTTGTAAACTTCAATAGCTACTAGTGGGTACACTGACATTTATAGAAGCAAAAGATACATTCAAATAACAGAACCAATGAAGATAGACTGAACTATCTCTATGTTCCCTCTATGAAATTATATTTAGAAATTTTTAGAGCTTTATTGTAACAACATTTATAGCTGCAGCTTAGGTGGCGAAATTTTCAATATTTGAGGAATATCTACTACTTCCTATGTCGTTACAGCTTTGAAAATTTAATCACATACAGCACTATGAGCTAGAAGAATATAGATACTAAAAGAAAATATGTGATTGAGGTAGATCTTGCTAGCAGAAATAAAACAATAAAATGCCAAATAAAATTGACAGTGTTTTAGGAAGGTGGGATGAATAAGATTCTTGTTTCATGATGTGCAGAAATGTGATTGAAGAAATACTGGCATCAAGGAAACTTTTCTCCTTCCCTCTCTCTTACTCTCTCCTTTCCTTTCTTCCTTCCCTCCTTCCTTCCTCCCTTCCTTCCCTCCCTTCCTGCCTTCCTCCCTCCCTTCCTGCCTTCCTCCCTTCCTCCCTTCCTTCTTCCCTTCCTACCTTCCTTCCTTCTTTCCTCCCTCCTTCCCTCCCTTTCTCTCTCCCCTCCCTCTCTCCTTCCCTCCTTCCCTCCCTCCCCCTCTCTCCCTCCCTCCCTCCCTCCCTCCCTCCCTCCCTCCCTCCCTTCCTTCCTTCCTTCCTTCCTTCCTTCCTTCCTTCCTTCCTTCCTTCCTCCTTTTGCCTTTCACAATTAGAAGATTAAAGTTTATGTGGTATTCTGGGTGTAGGCTGGGTGTGGTGGCTCACCCTTGTAATCCCAGCACTTTGGGAGGCTGAGGTGGGTGGATTATCTGAACTCACAAGGTCGAGAACTGCCTGACAACATGGTGAAACCTGTCTCTACTAAAAATACAAAAATTATCCAGGTGCAGTGGCGTAGGCCTGCAGTCCCAGTTTCTCGGGAGGCTGAGGCACGAGAATTTCTTGAATCTGGGAGACAGAGGTTGCAGTGAGCCCAGATTGCACCACTGCACTCCAGCCTGGGTGATAGAGTGAAACTGTGTATCCAAAAATAAAAAATAAAATAAAATAAGTAAATAAAAATAAGTCATATCCTGGATATAACTCTTTAGGCTATCTCTAATATCATTTTATAAAGATTTACTAGTTGAAAAATAACAATGCTGATAGTAAAGATTATTTTATATGGAACAAATAAATCTTTTGTTATAGTTTACTAAAAGAGTTTTAGCAAGTAGAGAAAAAAATCAAGTTTACAATTTTGCACAGAACTGCTATCCATTTTAAACTATTGTTTTGTATGCTAATTTCTCCAAATTAATACACATTTAATTTTTAATATTAAAATCAAGGATCTTGAGACTGAGATATCCAGAGTTGGCTAAACAAATAGAACTTCTGTCACTCCTTTGATATTCTAATCCCTTACCTAAACAAAATTCATTTCTTAATTATAGGTAGTAAATGGAAGCTATAATTAAGTTTTATACACTTTTATGAAACCACGATGTACTTAATCTTGAAAACTGAAGATGCAAATATCAGTTGTTAAAAAGTGAGAGCCAGGTTATATACTAATATAAAAAAAAATTCAAGAAACCTGCAAATCCCCAATTGTATATTGTTTAATTATCAGCATGTTTGAGAAACACTTACAGACAGCTATAAAATTTAAGAGTGAGGAAACAAATATTGGCTTTTGGCCTCTATTTAATCTAATTTGTGGCTTTAATGAGCTGGTATAAGTCATATTTTTATGATAGTAATTTCATTTAAACTGAAACACTGATACTTCCTTTCAGCTATCTTGCCTATTTTTCTCATGAAAATCACAAATGCTTTCTTGAAGAGTCCTATGTCTCTTAGATATACCATTACTAAAGGAGTAAGCCCACCTCTCTCCATCACAACAATGATCACAGAAACTGCATTGCATTTGTAACCAGGTATTAGGGGAGACAGTGGCAGTTGAGTTTGCTTCTCTCTCAAGGAACCATAATCAGTAATGCAGGCTGCATGACTTTATGTCTCTAAAGGAAATTTAATCTGGTAACATTATCTACATTTGTTTGGCTTTTTTCTCTCGCTCAACTCATGACGAAGGTCACTTTTAATTTAATTTTCCTACCTTTCAGACATGTCTTGCAGGTGCAAAAAGTCCTCTTGCCTTCATAAAGCTATTTTTCTGAAGACATTTTTCATCATGTTCCCTGGAGGGGATACGAGAGCTGTCCACCAAGAATCTGCAACCTCTTTTGGGGGTCTTCCATGGATTCACTGTGACCAAGGAAACAAGCTGTTACCTAGCAACATGGCCCTTCAGGAGGTATTGTTACCAGTCTCTTAGAGTTCATCAAAGGAATTCCTGTGCTCCTGGAGCAGCTTTAACAGCGATCATTGTTTCTAGGGAGTTGTCTAAACTGTGATATAACTGAACCTCAACTACAGAAACAAATATCAGCAGAGGGGGTAAATGTCCATAGCATCCCTGGAAGGTTCGCTGTCTTCGGTTCCATTGTTTTTTTAATTGTTTGCACTGACTTGGGTTTCTTGAAGTTATACTTGTGCAGTATATCCCCCAGTATTTGATTTCCTGCTTCTCTTCTGTAGGAAAAGAAGCAAAATAGAAGATATCTAATTCTTGCTTGAAGTTTGCTCAAATAAAACTCCTGTGATTTGAAGCTGGGAATTCGGCCTTGTTCATAAAAAGAAATAAATAATAGTTATTTATTTCAAAGCAAATTTTTCACAACTTTTCAGGAAAAAAAGGAGTATATGCATACTCGCTTATTGATCCAACTATCCTACTCTGAGTGTCTGCTATGTACATAGATAGCACTGTGAATTTTTAACTTCATGAGCTGATAAAATGAATGTTCTCTAAACTTGAAAGTTGTATGTCTCCTTTCCCAAAAATAGAAGAATGTAGCTGTGTTTCTGTGTACTAAGAAATTGTTGTCTGCCAAAATCATAGTACACTCTCCCATAGTCTTTACTGCTTCAGAGAAAAAGATATTTAGGAAACCATTTTATTCAAAATCTAGTTTCAAAACAAGGTAATTTGCATATCTTGGAAAAAGCATCATGTTTCTTTTTATTATTTATTTCTGTTCTATAGTAGTATATTATTAGTAGTATAGTATATTATTTTTATAATATAGTAGTAGTATAGTATATTATTTTTAGTTTATAGTAGTAATCCATCTATAGACTAAAAATGTTTCAGTAACCTTATTAATGTGTTTCATATCAAAAACTGAAAATACATTCTCCTCTACTTTGTTTCTGTCAGGAATTAAATTTTACACACAAAATGCTTCAGGCTAAAACTTAGCAGAAAAATCTTCTATGCCAAAAAATATAATGTAACATATTTGCTAAAGATTTATACATTGATTTGTTTCTATCCACATTAGTACAATTTTTTTTTAAAATGGAATTTCATTCGTGTTGCCCAGGCTGGAGTGCAATGGTGCAATCTCTGCTCACTGCAACCTCTGCCTCCGGGGTTCAAGCAATTTTCCTGCCTCAGCCTCCTGAGTAGCTGGGATTACAAGTGCCCACCACCACACCTGGCTAATTTTTTTGTATTTTTAGTAGAGACGGCTTTTTACCATGTTGGCCAGGCTGGTCTCAAACTCCTGACCTCATGTAATCCACCTGCCTAAGCCTCCCAAAGTGCTGGGATTATAGGCGTGAGCCACCATGCCTGGCCTAAGTTAGTATAATTTTTAAAAATTTTCAAATGCCTAAAATATTACATCTAAACTTTCTAGATACTTTTCCCATGATAGGGGCAGAGATGACATTTTTCTTTCTTTTCCTCTCTCTCTCTTTGTGTGTGTGCACCTGTAAACCACAGAACCAATGTCAGACATTTTCTTTACTCTCATCTTTTTTAAGAATCCTGGGAACTTTCCCAAGTCCAAAAATTCTAGACCAGGATTATCCAAAAATGAATAAAACACAACTAAACTTACCTTTTTAGCTTTATAGCCCACAACTATTGATCCACATTCCTAACTGCTATAGGCAAAAGCTATGTAATACTCCAGCGACTCAACTCTGACTTTGCTTAGAATTATCTTGGGTGCTTTAAAAAAATTCAGTGTCCAGGCCCTTCCTCAACTAAACAAATAATATCTGAAGGTGGGTGGGACCCAGGCATTCATAATATTTTAAAGTGTTCCTATTATACACTCTCAACTCCTCACTTACCTGTACCTACTTTGTGGAGCAAAATGTGGTTGAAGAAAAACACACCATTAGGCTGGGCGCGGTGACTCATACCTGCAATCCCAGCACTTTGGAAGGCCAAGGTGGGCAGATCTCTTGAGGTCAGGAGATAGAGACCATCCTGGCCAACATGGTGAAACCCCATCCCTACTAAAAATACAAAAATTAGCCCAGCGTGGTGGCAGGCGCCTGTAGTCCCAGCTGCTCGGGAGGCTGAGGCAGGAGAATTGCCTGAACCAGGGAGTCAGTGATTGCAGTGAGCCGAGATGGTGCTACTGCATTCCAGTCTGGTGACAGAGCAAGACTCTGTTTAAAAAAAAAAAAAAAGAAAAGAAAAAGAAAAACGCACCATGATGCTGACTGGCCTCACTCTAAAATGTATAACCACTCACCTCAAGGTGTTGTCTGGCAGTCACACTAAATTCCCACAACCATTCTCCAACTTGCCCTCGTCCCACCTAGTCTAGTAGGTGATTTTCAGTTGCTCTTCCTTTTGTTCTAGTTTCCCTTATTTCTGCCTCCATCCTACTCTCACCTAAACAATCAGAAAAGGATTTCCACAGGGTACTATCATCATGCATGTATCCACCTACTCAATCTACCTACCCACTTATTTTACTTTCCCCTCTAACAAGTAGACCTTATCAGCACTTCTATCTTCATTTGTGGACTGGAGTCTGCCACTTCATCTCTACTCAAAGTCATTAAACCAGAAAGTGTCTTCCTTCTCCATCATTAGTATCTCTTCTTTACCGCATCATTCCCACAGCATATAAGCCTGCTGTAATTTTCCCATTGAAAACAAAAACAAAAGATACCCTCTCTTGTCCTGCTTCTCCTTTCCGCTTCCATCCCAATAGATTGTTTTACATGTCTTACAGCATATGAGAAAAGCATTAAAAGTGCTGTCTATGTTTGCTGCCTCCAATTCTTCTCTTCTGAGTCTCTCTTGAACTCACTCGAATATCTTCAGTTCATTGCTCCACTGAAATTACAGTTGGCAAGGTCATTAATGATTTTCAGGTTACTAAATTCAATGGTCAATTCCTAGTCCTTATTTCCTTTACTTGAAAAGTACAGTTACTCTCTCCTTTCAGCACTCTCTTCATTTGGCTTCTAGGACTCTATACCTCACCAGCTATCTTTTTACTTCATAGTCCCTTTTGCTGTTCCCTACTCATCCCCCACCATCTCCTAACTGTAGTATGTCCAGGGCTCAGCCTCTAAACCTCTTTCTCTCTCAACTCAGTCTTATCTGGATAATGATCTTATGCAGTCTCATGGCCTTAAAAACCATCTATATGCTAATGACTCCAAAATTTATAACTCCATCCTAGATTTCTCTCCCTCTTGAATCTCAGACTCATATATTCACCTGCCTACTTGAAATTCCTCTTACATGTCTTAGATGCATCTCAATCTTAATCTTCCAGAAATATATCTTTAAACCTCCTGTCCAAATCAGCTGCTTTCATATCTTCTGTCTATTCAAGCCTAAAAATCTTGGAATTATCCTCAACTACTCTCTTTCTTTCAAATCCCATGTCCAATCCCTCATGAAATCCTATGAGCTCTACCTTCAAAATGTATTCAGAATCTGATCACCTGCCTTCCTTTCATGGCCTGTTGTGACACCCCTACATTTATTAGTATCATTACAGCTGCTGCTTTACTGGTCTTCTGCTTCAGGCCATACCTCCCTACAGTCTGTACTCCAGCATAGCACTCACAGGGATTCTGTTAAATGCAAGTGACTCTTCTGATTAAAATACATCAATGGTACCCTATCACACAAATAAAGAACAGTATCCGTACAATGGACTACAAAGCACCAATGTGTCTGATTTAAAAAAAAAAAAATCTATTTCAAAATTGTAAGCTAATTTTGAAACAACCACAAAACAATCAAGGTTTAAATTGACTAAAGTTCTTGCACAACTTCCGAGTTGACTAATATCAGTTAAGAAAAGCTAAACAGTTGGTACATGTTGTTAGACAATTGAAAATACTTTTTTTTTGTTTCTCTTAGGTCTTAGGATCTGTTAAAATAAGGAATCTGGAACATGAACTGTTTAAAAAAAGGCCACCATTTACAAATACCTCTTGCAGAGTATGTTCTTAATATTGTGAAATCAAATCAAAATCTAGAACCTGTGGACGTGGCCTACCTAGCGGTCTCCTAATATTATACTTCCTTCAAAAATGATACAAAACAAAAAAGAAAGGAAAAGTATATCTACAGAAAAACCAAACACTGAGTAGATCTTGAGAACAGAAACTACTAAAACTTCAAAATAATCATGGATTTAAAAGTTTGGTATGTCTCACATGCACCAGCTTCAGCCTTATCCCACAGTAAGACTAGGGCAAACCAAGGAAAACTGTGGGGAGGACAGGAAAGGAAAGAGGCCTAAAGTCGATCTAAAACTATCAGAAAGTACCATGAAAGTGTTCAGGCAAATCAGAGCATGAGCCACAGGGAAGAGTCTTCAAAGTATGCAAGATGTGAAAGCACAGGCTTGATATAAGAGGGCCTTTTTTGAAACACAGCTTTTGGGAGAGAACAAAGGGAAAAAAAAATAGTGAGACATGTCCTTTGGCAACTGGGAGGTTTTGATGGTTAATTTTAGGTGTCAACTTGACTGGATTAAGGAATACTTCGAGAACTGGTAATGCCTTACTTCTGGGTGTGTCTGTAAAGGTGTTTCCTGAGAAGAATGTCATGTGAGTTGGTAGACTAAGTGGGGAAGATCCACCCTCAATGTGGTGGGCACCATCTAACCAGCTGGGGTCCCAGATCTTCTCCTGCCCTTGGACATCAGAACTCCACTTTGGATTCCAGGACTTACACCAGTGGTTCCCTGGGTTTTCAGGTCTTTGGCCTGGAACTGACAGTTTCACTATTGGCCTCCCTGATTCTGAGGCTTTTAGACTTGGACTGAGCCAGGCTACCTCCAGCCTGGGGTCTCCAGCTTGCTGGCGGCTAGTTGTGGGACTTCTTAGCTTCCATAATTTCTTACGTCAATTCCCCTAACACATCACCTCTTAGGTATCTATATCTGCTTGTGTATATGTACATATCCGACTGATTCTGCCTCTGGAGAACCCTGTCTAATGCAGAGGTGAAGAGGAAAAGAAGAGAAAGGAAAATATTAAGCTCTTGTAAGGCAAAGTAGAATAAACTAAATTAGAGGACTCACAAACCCCCCTGTGTTAGGCAGGATAATGGCTCCCCAAAGATATCTACATCTTAATACCTGGAAACTGTGACTGTGTTACCTTACACAGCAAATGAGAAGTAAGGTAACCAATGGAATTAGAGTTGCTAACCAGCTGACTTTAAAATAGGGAGTTTCCTGAATTATCCAGGTGGGCCCAATGTAATCACAAGTGTCCTTAAATATGTAAAAGGGA